GACATCTGTGGCATTGTGCTGTGTGATAAAACTGCACATTTTAGAGTGGCCTTTTATTGTGGCCAGCCTAAGGCACACCTGTGCAATAATCATGCTGTCTAATCAGCATCTTGATATGCCACACCTGTGAGGTGGATGGATTATCTCGGCAAAAGAGAAGTGCTCAATAACACAGATTTAGACAGATTTGTGAACAATATTTGAGAGAAATAGGCATTTTGTGTACATAGAAAAAGTCTTAGATCTTTAAGTTCAGCTCATGAAAAATGGGGGCAAAAACAAAAGTGTTGCATTTATTTCTCTAGTCACGTTTGATCTCGCGAGTCTCCATGAGATCTCGTGTCACTGTGAAATCGTTCCTACAATCAACAAGTGTGTGGTCTGGTCGAATCGTCAAGTGTGTGCGTTCAGAGGATTATAGGTCTAAAAATTGGTTGAACTGTCTTCATGTATGTGGTCTCCCATGGTTTTAAAATCGTTTAAGATTTGAAAATCGTCTAGTGTGATCCAGGCCTAAGCAGAAGCACACTAGCCAAGTAAACAGCTATGCTACATTCAATATAAAAAAAGAAGAAAAAAAATGTCTGAGACAAATGTCCAGTTTGGTCTGTGGAGGAAACATTTGCGCTTATTGATATTTGAGCAGAGAAAAATTCAGCAACAGCTGGAGGGTACAAAGAGAAATTAAATTGTATTTTTCGCGTCGAGTTGTGTCCTTTTTTCTGTTATTTAACGAAGTAAACAAAACAGAAAAGTCCCAAAAACAGAAATATCTGATCATCGTCCATATTGCTGTTTACATTACACTTGCGTTACCATGGCAACGACTGACACATTTGTATTACATTCCAAAGAGCTCCGTTATCAGCAAAACAGTGGAAAATGAAACCATATCCGTGCTAACTGATCAGGATCGGCACGGAATAAGCAAAGAGAACCGTTCGGCCCGATAGTGGAAAAGCGGCTAAACTTGTTTGATATTTAGGATTTAAATCGGGATGATGGCGGCTATATGATTATATGATTGACAATAGCCAATGAGCGACCGCAAAACAGCTGCTATACGGCTCCATTGGATAGTGGAGACGGAGGAAACTGTTTCTTGATGTTTTGTAGTAACACGACTGTCTGTATAATGTGTTGAAAACGTGTCACAACCATAAGGAGAAAGAGAAGCGGTGGAGTGAAATCACCTCAGTTTTGAACGTACCGTGTGAGTGCAGAAAGCTACAAGCACACTAGCTAACATATGTAAACATCACTGAAATATTAATGACGATCTGCTGCGTGAGATCACGTGAGGCACTCCCTTTGGCATGATAATCTTAATAATAGGCTTGCTCGAGATTAACTACGCTTGCCTGCCACCGGCTGGCAAGAGTAGCCACATTTTCTGCTCCCGGTAGTGACGCTCTCACGGTGTTTGCATACACACAGATGAAGTGAATTAAATGCAATATTTGCCAAATACATAGACGTTTCAGAACCGGTTTCATGAGCAACAGAAACACTTTTTATATACTGCCTTATACAGCGCCATCTGTTCATGAATAAAGGTCAACCTTAACATATACTATTTAAATACCAATACATTTTATTTATTGGGGGCATTTTATCCAGGTTTTTTTTGTATCACAATATAACAGTGCGCATGTGATTGTAAGGCAGCTGTAGCGCCGATCAAAGTCGGACAAATGTTCAAACCAGAATGCATCGCTTTTGTCAGGCGGCAGCCAATCTTTGTGGCGCCGCATGAAGTGAAACACACAATATATCTTGTAGTGTGTGATGCGCCACGATTTTCAAATCTTGTAGTGTGTGCATGTTTACGATTTGAGGGAAGATAATCTGCAAAGATTCTCCTTATGTGTGTGCTGCAACCAGATTTCATAATCAGGTAGGATTTTAAAACTCCTGTAGTGTGAGCCCGGCTTAAGTCTGTACTGTAAATTGTCGAGTCACCATTATTTACATAGCGCTTTACAATGCAGAAGTTGTCAGTATTATTTCTCTGAATGATGTTATGATGCGTGTATTTCTTTGTCCTGATTGAGCAACATATATTTCAGACGTGCAAATTCTAGCATTATTAATTTAACCAACATTTAAATCATTAGCTGCTTCAAAATGCTTGATTTTAATGAAATCATTTGTGAAGCATTTGCAGTTACAGATAAAAAGAACAATTACATAAACAGTGAATAATTGTACAAGGTGAATTAAGGTATATGCACAAAGTATCAAATTTTATTCGGATTTCAGAATAAGCACTTTGTCATTTGTAATACATTTGTTGAGGATCTCATCCATCTGATGTTCATCATGTGCATCTGATGTTTGTTACTGTAATGAATATGATATTTATTATTTTTTAATACGCAGGGGAAATTCCCAACATTAAACAAACTTTTTACATGAAGCATGTTTGCATTGTAAAAATGTACAGGAATGCTTCAGATATAAAATCGCTGTTAGGTGATGTTTTCTCATTAAAATCGTACGATTTACTCTTAATTAGATCATGTATGGGAATAGCAATATGGCAGCGTGGTGGCTTCACTTCTATAACATCATGAGCAATTCAGTTCTCTATTAGAGATCAGTGGTGTAGACTTATAATAATGGATTACTACGGTCACGTGGACTTAACGGATACACGCATGTGGCGGCCATAAAGTCCTCAAGACCTCAGATTTTCTCAAATATATCGCTTAACCTCAAACATCTTGTTTTCATAATCCTCGGAAGTCAAACTCAGACCTAAAATACAAGAGGGATCTCACTTCTGGATTGCAAATAACGAAAACGCATCACACAAAAGTTGGCAAGCTACAGTTAGCTTCATAATATTTATGTAGCAATAATAAATTGTAAGTGTATTTTCTTAATTTCCCCTGCACCAAAAGCAGAACAGTTAACATTAGAGCTTATCGATACTACTGTTTTTTGTAATTTATGCTTATGACCCATTTAATACCGAGTTCAGGTATTCATTCCTACTTACAAGAGAAGCAGACAAATCAGTTACAAAGCTACATGACAGTATGTCTAGCATCTGCATTTCCTAAATACATAAGTTTTTTAAATAACTAATTTTAAAAACAACAATATAAAATAAATCTCAGTCTCTCTTAAAAAGTGTTACAGCCTATTCCTCAGCTTCCTCAGTTTGTAAAAACTTCTACTTTTCATGAAAGAGTAAATCTACAGGTGACACATATGCATTATAAGACAATCAAACATCATATGAAACTCATAAGAAAGCACAATGATATAATTTTTAACATGAAGCAAAATTATATACAAGAATAAAACTTTTTGATATTGTTCTTTGGGGAAGAACTCCATCGAGTTGATCTGAATCTCACAGTTGAATGTGTCACGTCACTTGTAATGGCTGGTTAGAAAAGATTTATCCAGATGATATTTTATTTCTTGCATTATTGTGTAACATTTGGTGAGGACGTGGCATCAGACCTGAAAGTGCTGGATCTGAAGATGATCTTCTTACTGTGATTGTTTTTTGTATGACTGTGTAGAGCAGATGAACGACTGAAATGTTTCCCACATGCAGCACAGTGATACGGTTTCTCTCCAGTGTGGATCATTTTGTGCGTTTTCAGGTTTCCTGAATCACTGAATCTTTTATCACAGTGTGAACACTCGTAAGGTGTTTCTTCAGTGTGAATCCTCTGGTGCTGTTTCAAATGTTTAGCTGAAGTAAAAGTCTTTTCACACTCACAGCACATGTACTCTCTCATAACAGTATGTATTTTCTGATGTACTTTTAAATTTTGTAGAAATGAAAAACTCTTTCCACACAAAAAACATGAATGTGGCTTCTCTTTTGTATGAACTCTCAGGTGTTTCTTCAGGTCTGGAGCTCTCAAAAATGTTTTGCCGCACTGATCACATGCGTGCTGCTTCTCTCTAGTGTGAATGTTCATGTGATCCTTAAGGTTTGCTGAGTGAGTGAAACTCTTTCCACACTGATCACAAGTGAATGGTTTCTCTCCCGTATGAATTCTCATATGTGCTGTAAGGTTTACTTTTTGTGTGAAACTCTTCCCGCACTGATCACATGTGTACGGTTTCTCTCCAGTGTGAATCCTCTCATGTGTTTTCAGGTATCCAGACTGACTGAATGTCTTGTCACAATGTGAACACTTGGATGGTTTTTCTCCAGTGTGGATGATCATGTGTTTCTTAAGGTTTACTTTTTGTGTGAAACTCTTCCCGCACTGATCACATGTGTACGGTTTCTCTCCAGTGTGAATCCTCTCATGTGTTTTCAGGTATCCAGACTGACTGAATGTCTTGTCACAATGTGAACACTTGGATGGTTTTTCTCCAGTGTGGATGATCATGTGTTTCTTAAGGTTTACTTTTTGTGTGAAACTCTTCCCGCACTGATCACATGTGTACGGTTTTTCTCCAGTGTGGATCCTCTCATGTGTTATCAGGTCTCGAGATTGACTGAATCTCTTGTCACAGTGTGAACACTTGTACGGTCTCTCTCCAGTATGAACTCTCATGTGACGCTCAAGACTTGGTTTGTTTGTCAAACTCTTTCCACACTGAGTGCAGGTGAAAGATTTCTTGGCTCTTCTTTTCTTTAAATCTTTCTGTTTGGGTTGAGAGCAACTCAGAGGTTTTTCTCCATTTTTCACATGATTTTTCTCCTCAACTTCACTCAATTCTTCTTTCTCGTTTTCTTCAATCATCTCTGAAATAAAAGTAAAAATTATTCATTTTCACTAACTCTTAGTAACCCTGATGTAACAGTGTAAAGTAGCCATTTGCTATTCAACTTTTTTGGACATTTTGATGCATTTTTAAAGAGAATGTGAAGCTACATCATGCGCGTTGCATGCTGGGGCGCCACCGCCATTCTGGGAGGATCATTCTCTGCTACAAATGCTGGAATTAATACGGATACCTGCTTATCTTGTTTTTGCCTTGAAGTTAAATATTCACATTCTTCATTGGATCGTTTGCAGAGAAGAGAAAACTAGTTTATTGCTTCGCATGATAATCAGATTTTATCTCTTGAGTTTTGTAGAATTTTGCTTACAATGTTGATCTGATTAGCATGAAAACAGTGTTGCCCGCTGCTGCTTCAGCCGTCATATGGTAGATTATCCAAATATAGTGTTTTTTCAACAAGCTGACAGAAGTTGATCCATTTCTTTGTTGGATACGTTTTAATGATGAAGTATAAGTGTCATTGTAAATATTAATTTTTCCATGGCCACGGAGGAGAATCAGAGATTGTGGGTCACATCAGTAGACAGACAGAAGCACACTGTATTTTTATATTTATTTCATCAAATGACAAATAAAATTAAATCCCTGGAAGCTTGTGAACAGTTTTGTAGCATTTTAAAAGGCTGGCTTAATGTAACTTAGTAAGACAGTGATGCAGATGGGCCCAGAATATTAACGCAACTTGTTTAAATACACAAGCGTTTTCCTCCCTTTAGAAAAATGAAGAACACGCTTATGCATCAAGGTTTTGGCAGTGACATAAATTTTGTGTTTTGCAAAGTTTGCTGCTTAAGCTGTTGTGGTGTTCATTCACATTGTTTCTAGATTATTGTGTAGCGTGATCAGATGCATTTTAAATAATTACTAAAAGTTTAATTGTAGGGCTGCAAGATAAAAAAATTTCATGTATGATCGGGGTTTTGCACGGCTAGTCAGTGAAGGAGGCGGCTTTACTGACAAGATGCGCATTAAATATCGCATGCGATTTATCGTGCAGCCCTATTTAATTGGCCAAAAAATTAACTTTTCACAAAAAAAAAAACAATTTCACTGTTTTTGATCCTGAGACAAAATGACCAGCTAACATTAATTGACTAATCATATCAGCAGCACATGTGAAAGTGTGCATGAGTACTAGTCAGGTGAAATCACTATCATACTAAATAGATTGTAAGAGCAGACTGATTGCTATAAAAGGAGCGAAGAATTGCTTCCAGTCATTATGTTCTTGTTAGCAATGGTTACCTCCAAAGAAACCCGTGCAGCCATCATCACTTTGCATCAAAATGGCCTCACATGCAAGGAAATTGCTACAAAGAATATTGCACCTTGTAGCGAATTTCATGCGATGAACTCTGCTAATAAAAGATGTCTTCCCTTTTAAATATTCCTTATCGGGATGTGACGTCATTGTTAGAGCGAAAAGAAAAGTGTCCAGTGTCATGAGACACAGCGTTTCACATGGTAGTTCAATGCTGAAGCCGAACTATGAGTGTTTGAATCTCCCGCTGAATCTACTGTTGAGGTTTTTGGGGTGCTTGGTTCTCCCGCTGATGCTGTGTTTGGAGTGATTCGAGTCTGCCGCTGAAGTCGTGTTGGATTCTCCCACTGATGATGTGTTTGGAGAGAAATTAAGCCGTTAACATGATTTAAAATGGAGATTGAAGATAAGCCAAGCATGTTAGGGAAAGTGTAAGTGCAACTCTCTTTTTTTTTTTTTCTAAAAGAAAGAAGTTGATAGTTATTCTTGTGCTAATTGTACTTCACTTGTTGTGTTTAGGGGTGGGTTTTGCTTTCTTTATTTGGAATTGGATACTGTTTCGAACTACCTATGCTCAACGGACATTTCGTAACGTGTTTGGTGATTCACACTATGAACGACGTAAGTTCAGCAGACATTTCTAACCCTATTTGCGGATTCAAGGTATGAACAATACATGAGTGCAAATCACATTGCTACATGCATTTTTAATAGAACCTGAAAAGAACCATTTACCGGATCATCAAGAACTTCAAGGAGAGAGGTTCGACTGCAGTGAAGAAGTCTTCAGGACGGCCCAGAGTGTCCAGCAAGCACCAGGACTGTCTCCTCAGCTACGGAATTGTGTCACCAGCAGTACAGAGCTTGCTCAGGAATGGCAGCAGGTTGGTGTGAGAGCATCTGCACGCCCAGTGAGGCCAAGACTTTTGGACAACGGCCTGGTGTCAAGAAGGACAGCAAAGAAGCCAATTCTCTCCAAGAAAAACGTCAAGGACAGACTGAAATTTTGCAGGAAGTACAACAATTGGACCGTAGAAGACTGGTGCAAAGTTATTTTCTCTGATGAAGCTCCTTTCCGACTGCTTGGGACATCTGGAAAATTGATTGTTCGGAGAAGAAAAGGTGAACGCTACCATGAGTCCTGTGTTGTGCCAACAGTGAAGCATCCTGAGACCATCCATGTGTGGGGTTGCTTTTCAACCAAGGGAGTGGGCTCTCTCATAATTCTGCCCAAAAACACTGTCATGCATAAAGAATGGTATCAAAACGTCCTGCAAGAGCGACTTCTTCCAACTATCCATGAACAATTTGGTGATTACCAGTGCATTTTCCAGCATGATGGAACACCATGTCACAAAGCAAGAGTGATAAAGAAGTGGCTCGAAGATCATTACATTGAAATTTTGGATCCATGGCCAGGCAACTCCGCGGATCTCAATCCCATAGAGAACCTGTGGTCAGTCCTCAGAAGGCAAGTGGACAAGCAGAAGCTCACAAATTGTGATCAACTCCAAGAACTAATAAGGCAAGAATGGATCGCCATCTGTCAGGAATTGGCCCAGAAGCTAATATTCAGCATGCCAGAGCGAATTGCAGAGGTTTTGAAGAACAAGGGTCAACACTGTAAACATTGACTCATTATATTTTTTTGCCAATAAAAGTGTTTAAAACGTTTTTCAGTATACCACAGAAACATGTGAAAAAAGAATCTACAAATACTGAAGCAGCAGACTTCGCAAAACTAAATTTATGTCACTGCAAAAACTTTTGGCCATGACTGTATTTAAAGTTCATATTTTGGGTTTGTCAGTTTTCTGCACATAGTATGCTTTATTAGTAAGGTGTGTACAGAATGTGGTCTTTTAATATCACTGTCTCTGTGCATAAGCATTCAACGTGTAAATAAATGTGTTGCGTTCACATTTTGGGCTTATGTACGTATCTACATAGTATGCTTTACAATTTTGTCTTTATCACTATCTTGGTACCTTAAGCAAAATTAAGCATTATTTGTGTTAAGCATTTTAATGTCCCTGTTCAAGTTCGGCTAATTCACAAGCCTAGTGATAGTCATAATTGCAAAGGTGATGTTAATTATTAAACCAAATAAAATTTAAACTTTCAAAAACCATGCAGCAATATGATTCTTTTATTAAAAGACAGGCAGTGGGTTTAATTGGTGACATTATTAATAGATTTACTATCCGGCATCTTTTTGTCATCTTCATGACCTGCTTCCCTTGCTGTTTTTACACAGAGAAAAGCCGAAAAAACATACTGTATTGTCCAGTTTTCTCTCAGAACCTTGATTGGAGTTACTTTTGCAATTCTCGATGCAGCATGAATGACATACACATTTTTCACAATCACAACAAAAAAATTAATAAAATACTGCCCTAAACTCAATAGTGAAACGGCAGTGCGATGCTCCCAGTATGGCAGATAAACAAAGCAGTTTCCCAGAACTCAACTCAGCATGATATCGCTTTTGGAATGCACCATATATTAGGGGTGTGCCATACCATACAGTCCATGATAATACCGGTATACATTTTTACATGATAAAAAAAAAGTGTCATATCGGGATATCAATGATATAGCGACGCGATGACGTATGGCGGATATACGTTCCTTAGCGCGCACAACACCACCACCACAAACCCAATAGGTATGTTCGACTTGAAGCAGCGCTGCGCAGACTGATCGGTGAATGCCATCAAAGTATCGCGAGAGCGGTTCTAGAGCATATTCGAGCGCACACTCGTACCTTCAAAAATTATCACATATCTCACACAGAGATCGCACTGTCATAGTGTTTGGGAATATTCACGCATAATTTAAATACATAACCACATGGAACCAGATAAAAAAATAAAACATTTAAGAAGAGAACGCAGCATCACAGGTGTCTGAACTAATGAGCATTAAGCTGTGTTGTTAGCCAGTCGTTTCCCATCATGCTTTTGATTATGTTCGACTTGAAGCAGCGCTGCGCAGACTGATCGGTGAATGCCATCAAAGTATCGCGAGAGCGGTTCTAGAGCATATTCGAGCGCACACTCGTACCTTCAAAAATTGGCGAGGCACATATCTTTAGCGAGCCGCTGCTAGGAAGCTTCTGATACGTGCCTCGGCACCGCTGGGCGTAAACACAAGCAATAGGCTTGTTTGAGATGCGCCTCGCCTGAAATTTAGGCAAGAGTTTGCGGCTGCAGTAGAGGGGGGGGGGGGGGGGGACATTTCTGACCTCTCGAAGTGGAACAGATACCAACGAGATCAAAGGCGGATATCACGTTATTCTCACTCAGGTGCTGTGCTAATAAACATGATATCATTTTAGTTCTGTTACTTTTATATGAAAATAAATGATGAAAAAGACACTCAAAGTGCTTGCTATTTAATTCCATACAAAAGGTGTATTTATCATCCATTTTTACTTTAATACAAACATGTATTTTAGATTTTTATAGAAATATGACAACAATCACATATCTCACACAGAGATCGCACTGTCATAGTGTTTGGGAATATTCACGCATAATTTAAATACATAACCACATGGAACCAGATAAAAAAATAAAACATTTAAGAAGAGAACGCAGCATCACAGGTGTCTGAACTAATGAGCATTAAGCTGTGTTGTTAGCCAGTCGTTTCCCATCATGCTTTTGATCAGTGCAGTCGGTGGAGAGCAACTGCGCTTGACTGCACAATCCGACACAGCCGCCTTGCTATCGTGAGAGTTTTTTGGCACATGTCAGCTTAACAACAGAGCAAGTCGGACGTAACTCGGACACTTTTCTAACCGGCATGCATCTCGTGGTGATC